TATCCGAATAAGTAATGAGAATTCAAAATTATTTTTCTTTAACTCTCGCTCGAATATTTAATAAGTAATAACCTTATTTTTAATTTAATTTTCGCATTCAATAAACCTTTTAGTGTGTTTATTATTTTAAGAAAGAAACATAATATTAAAAATTATTCTTTCTATATATAACATATATGCAAACACATACATATGCAAATTTGATTGGTTAAAAATTTTCTTACTCAATATGAAAGGAAATTTATAAAGAAGATATCTATGTTCGAGAATTTTATTAAAATTCGAACAAAATATTTAAAAAAATTAATCGATTTACAGTGATGATGAAACAATGACAATCCTGACAATGGATGAAACAAAAAAAATCTTGAATTGATACTAATATAGCAAAGTATATTTATTTTACAACGTTACTCGAAAACACAAATATAGAGATGGTACAATGAAAATACACTGCCTGCGTATGCATGACAAATATTGTTTTTTAATAGATTATATGTGATTAAAAATTATAATCACCTACCAATCAATTAATCTACAACCTTCTTCTCCAATCACACACACAACACACAATTTATTTTGTGCCAATGTTTTTATTTAACAATAAATTAAATTTAATAGAAAGGCAAAAAAAAACAGAAACTAATTTCAAATTTTAACGTTTTAAAACCAAAGATGAATAAACCTAAGCAATAGACAAGAATGAAACAATCAATATTTTCCTCGGTAAACACAAAAAAATATTACGCATTTATTCATTTCAAAAATCTACAATATGCTCACCCGAATAATATATATTAATATAAAATTAACTATTTTTGGTGAGTTTTTAATTGTAACAAAAATTTCTTTTGATTAATAATTATATTAGTAAAGCTCGTTTTAAGAAAAAAAAATAGAGCTAAACTATATTGTGCGCTTGGCAATTATTTTCTGAATTTAGTCAGTTCTATGACAGAATAAATTCCACCATACGAACCGATTTATTTCATTTCAAACCATACATGCGTAATGACTCTTTCTTTGAAATTTGTTTTAATCATTCTTCTTTCGAAGAAAAAGCAATACTTGGCAGGTTTATAGTAACTCAAAAGATAGTGCTAAAAATTTTATAAATATCAATTTCATTAGATAAATGTAAACATCCATTATTTGACGTCCTAAACCCCCCCCCCCCAATATAGAACTTATAACGTATTTATACTTCAATTATTTCTCTCGCTACATTATTATAAATAAAGACTCGGCTTGATTTTGATATTATAGATTCCGCGACATATTCAAATGTTTCAATTTAAAAATGTTAATTCTGATTACGTCTTTTTGGTGATCACAATTAGTGGAGCGGCGTACTGATTTATCCTTTTTCGACCTGCAGAAATTAAAATATATCTTAAAAAAAATAAAAATAAATTACATAATAAGTTGGAAAATATTTAAGACATTTCGTAATATGTTTGTGGATAAATATTATTGTTATTATTTGGGTAATTTTTTTTTAGAAGAATTTGACCATTCATATTTTCATATATATTCGAGATTTTTTCAATTGATAAGGAAAAAAACTAAATATAAAGAAGGCTATTAATAAAGATGATTTCCTTGGCATTTAAGGGTCTCATATACATATACATATGTATTCGTATGCATTGAAATGGTTTATTAAAATCAAATTTAGTTAAATTTTAAAATTTTTATTTTATTCAAACATAATTATTTAAGAAAATAAAATTATTTAGCGGATAATTCATTATTTGATTATTTATTTGGTAAAAAAAAAAATTATCTCGTGTTTCAATGAAGTTTACTCGTGTAAAAAATGAAAACTTTTGATGTTTAAATATTTCTTTCCTTCAAATCTAAAAATGTTTTGATAGATTTTGATAATAATAATAAAAAAAACAAAACTCTAAATTTATATTTGTAAATCAATGTAATCTAAAATTTCTAAAATTTATTTGATTGGTGTGTGTTTCCTCACTTTTAAAAAAAATAATAATTAAAAAATTTTTTTCCCATTCATCTCCTTCCCATACAAACTCCATTGACATTTCTCCCTTTTATATTACTTTATTAATTATTATATTTATTTATTTATTTTGTCCTCCAAATACACAAGCAAAACGCTTGTTAATTAAATGATAATAATAAAGAATATTCTTGTTTGGTTTTCAAATGTCATTGATGATAGCAAACAAATATTTGATCCATTCATTTACTTCTTTATTTTTTGATCGTGAAGAAGGAGTAGTAATTGATTTGTTTGGTGGTTCTAAAGTTTGAATTCGACTTTAAATGTAATTGACTTTGGTTTATTTTGAGTTGAATGTGATTATGAACAAACCATACGTTGAATGTTAAATAAATAAGCGGTATATTACGTTTATTTAACTATCGTAATAACAGATTATAGGCAGACAATAATAATAACAGTAAATAATTAACGGATTATTACATCGGTATAAAACATATATCTTTTACTATAGGTTTGATTGGAAATCACGATCATGAGTCTGATAACTTGATAACAATAAATTATAAAGATATTATTGCCTTTTATTTAATTTGTAAATGAATAAACAAAAGGATCGAGTTGATTGACTATCTGCCCATAGTTTATTATATTTTGTATTTTTTCTTTCATATGTTTGAGATATTTAATGATTCATTTGTAAAAGAATCACAAAATGTATGTTTTCTTCTAGAAAAAAAAAAAAAAAGGCAAAGGTCCAGACATAAAAATGTAATTTATTGATTTGTTGCACATTGTTCTCTTGTAAAGAAATTTTTTGGAGGGTTTCATGATGCTTTCAGGATGAACCGAGCTTTTTTTTGCTTTATTTGGCGCCAACCTTTATTTTTCCTTAAAAGAAAATAAGTAATTCTAAATTCTAATTAAAATCTTCTAAAGTTCCAATTAATAATAATAAAAATATTTTAAAGATAAATATTTGGTACTTTGTAATGTATGTTTAGATATAGATAGTTAGCCCAATTAATAGTTTTTTTACTGGTTGGTTGATTATCTCCCCCCAATTGCATCATGTAAATATTATTTCTTATATGACCAACCTACTTTCATAATTTCATGGGGGGATATAATTGGTAATATAATTTGTTGTCGTCATCAATATTACAATAATTTCAACCATAAATATAAGCCCCAGAAAATAATAATAAACTCTTATCAAATAGAACTCAATATAACTTCATTCATTATTATACAACAGCCAATCATGATCTACTCTAAATCTACCCGATTTATTCCAGTACCCAATAGCTTTGGGATTGACACTACCGAATATTCAGTATAAGTTACATGAACTCGTATGATTACACTACATTAACAATATTAGTTACACGACGGAACTTTCAACAACTGTTTTCCCATGTAGAGAGATAAATCAAAAATCAATTTCTTTTGTAGACGCATAATAACTTATTCAGTTGATGACGAGAGATCTCAAGTAAAGCTCTTTAATATTTTCGATGCATCGATATCAGTCAACTATAGAAGATCCAAATTGCAATTTCGACAAAAATAGTGAGCTGTCAAAGTTTTTATTTAATGCCTAATGTTATAAATGTATCGATTGCCATTTTGATACTATTTTAATTTATTTTACCATTTTGATATCATTTAATTTATTTTGATGCCATTTTAATTTATGTTTAAATAATACCTTTTAGATAAAAAAAGTTAGATTACATTAATATAACGAATGAATGATTGCAAACACAAAGAACTTAACTAGAACATTCGCATCAGATCATCATTAATCAATCCATAAAAACTGCCTGCCGCCTAGCAAAATTCCAATTAAAGAATTCGAAAAATTTAGAAACTTTATATACTAATACGTATATACACTATATTGCCTTTATGAGTTTTTTCATCTCAACTAATTATAGTCAAGAGCCAGAAAATCAACCATAATACAAATAGGAATCAATCATATAAACTCTTAATCAAAATTTAAACAAGTTACCTGAGGCCCGATGAGCCAATAAATTCTATAAAACGAAAATATAAGTTGCGGAAAGTAACTCTGTGTTGCTTGTTAATTCTAAAAAACATCTCACGGCTAAAATTATGAAATTGCCAAAAAAACCATCGTAAGTAGCATATAATCCTAATAATATTTTCAATAATAACAGTTTGCACGTACATCTTTTTACGTGTGTTCAAAAAATTCAAGACCCCCCACAACATCTATAATACATATGTTTACAGTTTTCATCCCCTTTTACATTCATATATTGATTCTCATTTAAGAAAAAGATAGATACGGACATTAATTATTATATTGAAAAGAATTAAATGTTTAAAACAATGGCGATAATTGGTTAAATTTTGACCCCTGCGATACATTAGTGCTAATAAAAAGAAACCCAATAAAATTTTATTATTTTTTATAATAAAATATAATATATAAAAAAAATTCATAATAATTTTATTATTAACCCTGTTTATAATAACATCATTATTTATTTTAAAATTGAACAATGTAGCAAATTACAACTATATTATTTTAAATCAAGATATAAATATTTATTTATTTACTTTTCGCGTGGTGGTGTTGTTATACCATTTTTATATAACTACTTTTATTATTATTCAAATTTAAAATTGACACTAAAAAAAAATCAGTATATAAACCCTCATCTTGCCACTTTCCTTTTCTTCTTTTCACGGATATGCTCACTTTCATAGATAATAATTGTAAAAGCAAAATTATCATATTTTAATCATACAATTAATTAAATATATATATATATATATTTAAAAAATCCATTTTTTTATATTAATAAAAAGATACAAAATAAAACAATTTTTTATTTTTATTTTTATTTTTATAAATAAATTTTTCGATCTTTCTTTTTTATAAAAGAAAAGAAACCCAACTTTTTTCAAAACATAATAATTTTGCTAAAAAAATAATTTGTGAAATATGTTATTTACAAATATAATTTCTATTTTTAATCGCAAGTCTGTTATTATGCCTTATTCTCATGATATTAATGGTGGAAATGTCAACAACCATGACCACAATAATACGACAAACCCAAAATTTTTAAAATCTAAATTTGACCAAAATGTTGATTTTATAAATGAAAAATCTCCAATATACAACACCAACAATGACGATTCTCGGGAGTTCAACGAAAAAATTTATCCTGTCAACAACAGCAATCTTACTGTTGATACTAGTATTAAAAGTATCAGAAAATTAAATACTAAGCGTAGCACGGGCAGTTTATTCAAATTATCGTTGAAACGTAATAATAGTAATATTTGGAATTCGTCAACAATGCCAGATCTAAACAATATAACAATAATAACACAACCTCCAAGTCCAATAGCAAATTCGGCTCAACTTTGGAAACAAGATCTTGATCCAAATGTTAAAGCTCAAATGAAAGCTGCTGAAATTCATCGACAAGTAATTATTCATGAAATAATTCGTACAGAAGATGAATATGTTAAGGATTTACGTTATTTTTTAGAGGTAATTATTATTGTATTATTGTATTATTGTTTATTATTTATTATTTATTATTATTATAATAATTAATTTTTTTTTTTTTTTTTTTTTTACAATTAAAAATTTTTTTTTCTCAAAATAGAACCATGTACCGAAAATTAGAGAATCGGGTGTAAAATTACCAGCAAGTCTCGAAAAAATATTTACGATATTGCCATATATATTTCTTTTACACTTAAACACATCGTTGGTATGTATATATTAATAATAATAATAATAAAGATATATATATATTTTCGAAAAAATATAAATTTTTTTTAATTTTCTATTTTCTATTTCTTTTTAGCATCTTCTTTGTCTACAAGCAATAATGAAGCCAGTTATACCAAGTGTATCAAATGTACTTGGAGACATGTCCAAAGAATTAGAAGTATACGAATCATATTTAATTCATCATCAAATGGCAATAGCCGAATTAACAAATGCACGTAAAAAAAATAACAAGCTTGGACAAATTTTAAATTATTTGGATAAAAAAGAATTGCCGACTGGTAAATACATGTCAGTAGAAAGTTTACTAGCCAAACCATTTCAACGTTTATGCAAATATCCATTATTGATTATGGTAAGTAGGAATAAAAATCTTTTTTTTTGGAAATTTATTTAAAAATTAATTAATTAATTAATTTCCCTTAATAAAAATAGACATTGTTGAAGGCTACTGAAAAATCGCACGAAGATTTCACATCATTAAATGATCTTTACGAACAAATGGATTGTGCAATTAAAGATCTTCAAGAACGTAAATCGGAATACGAACAATCAAAAGAATGCGAAGAATTCACAAAGAAATTTTATACTTTTAGAGTAAGTTTTTGTCGATTTCTTCTATCCTTCTAAAATTTTGAATTTCGAATAAACAATAAATTAATAAATTTATTTTATTTGTTTATTTTTAGCCATTAAAAAAAATGATGCACACATCTACCTCTTTTCTCAGAAAACATAATATTTCACCAAATTAAATATATTTTTTGTTAATGATTTTACCAGTTGGAAAAAATATTCTTTTGGCTAATTAATAATATATATATTTGCTTGTTGACTAGTTTTATCTTTTTGTACATTACTTTCCTTATTTTCTTCCTTCTTTCAATCACGCCTTCTATAATATGTATATAATACATACACACACACGCACACCAACACACAAACAAGCACACATATACACACCCTCACACATAATAGTAAGCACACATGCATCATACTATTAACTATTGTTTTTTTATAATGGTAGAATATATATAAAAACTATAAATTGATTTTTTCCTTTCTTTCCTCTTTTTCCCTGATAGATACACTCCATTAACTTGTAATATAGTGACATTTTTTGTTTTGTTAAGTTTATTTTTCTTTTAAAAATTTTTTTTTCAAAAAAAAAAACATCTTTAGAAACAAATAGAAAAAAGAACATAAAAATTCAACACATAATACGTCGTCGTCGTTGTCGTTGTTGTTATCATCATCATCATCATCATCATCATCGTCGTCGTCGTCGTCATCATCATCATCATCACGTTACTATTGTTAGCTAATTCGAAATTACTAAACAAATTACTTTCTTTATTCACGATATTTTAATGTAACACTTTCTTTCTTCAGAAATTTAATATTTCTTACAAAACCAACTTTTTTATTCACAATTTTTAAAATACACATGTATAATTTACATTCATTCATTTTACAGCACGCATGCATCATTTAATGTTTTAACTTTTAATAAAAATAAATAAATAAAAAATAAAAAAAAAATTACGTTTTTTAAATTTTCGAATTATTTCTATTTACATATTTAGAATTGGCAGTTAGCGGTTACCCAGTGAATTTTTGAATGATGTATAAAATATAAAAGTAATATTATATAAATAACATAAATATTAGGAAATGATGCTTTTGAGCACATATATACATATACATTGCATTGCATGTAAACAAACAGTACATAAATAAACATTGTGTTTTATGAGTTACGCTAAGTTGACATTATTTTTTATACACGGTTCGGTTGTGCAATCTCTTTCCAATTTTTCCTTTTAAAGTAAATATTAATTAAAAAAAAAAATAAATATTAATTTTTTTCTTTAAATAGGAAATATATTAATTAATTAATTCGATTTCTTCCTCCTTTTGTCATTCGCTTGCTCGTATAGGTGATGTGCGGATGGATAATGTGCGCGTGGCCGAGCGGACGAATGAATTCATATGCCGATTGGATTCATTAAATAAATGACCTTTTATAGATAAATAATATATATTAATTATTGTATTTTTTTTGCTAAAAAATTTTGTCTCATATTAATTATTGAATTTTAAATTTTTATTACTCAATTATATATTAATGATGTACATAACAATAACGTCCTGAAACTAAAAAAAATAATGGAGTTTATATCTGAAACATTTTGTTTTTGATCCAGTTTGTTTATATTTTAATAAATAGGTGAATTGAATAAAATTAGAAAATTAATTATTTCAATTGTGTTACAATATATTTATAAAAAATTTTACCAGTTTTTTTAATATTATTCAAAAAATAAATATTTCTTTGTCAATTAAAAATTCTAACTAGTTATAATTACAAGCAAATATAACTAGCTGCCCCCACACAAGAAAATCTGTTTTAGCACTTTATTGTTTTTATAGATAATCTTATGATATGCACAAATTATGTAGATTTAAAAAAAACATACATGTATTGCTATGTGCTTATATTTATAACGGTACAATGGCAGTAATTTTTTTACAAATACCACGCAATACAATTATAGTATATATTTACATGGTACTAATGGTATAGTGATCGCTATTGGTTCATTCAAATTGTTCAATAACGATTAATTAATCAAATCACAATCTGAATCTTAATGAAATAGGAATTAATTCAATGATTATGTTAATGATTAATTATTTGGATATAAACTTCCAAATCATATGTTAAAAAAATTTTTTTTAGAATTTTCGTTTGAAAAATCATCGCATCTTCATCATTTTAATAGCATTAATATTAACATTAGCACCATAAGTTACTTTTGAAATTATAGTTAAGACGACGAACGAACGGTACCCTGATCAAAAATAATTATGTGAATATAAAGGCGTATATATATGTAAATATTTTTTTTTGTTGTTATACAATCGATAAATTTGGCGTTTTGCTTCTCTAATTCTTTCCAACTGCATATTTAGTAATGTATGATGAGATATTATATAATAATGTCATCTGCTAATATTTGATAATAATGTGCGTCGAAATGATTAAAGCAGTAAATTTATTGGCTTTTCACACGTGAGGCTTTGAAAAAAAATATAGTTCTTCATTTTTGCAATTTCTTACTCACTGTGTAACTCCCTGGAAATAAATAGCAATATCTAATCAATAATTAATCAATAATAATGATGATGATAATAAGGACAATTTTATATAACAACAACAACAACAACAACAACAACAATGACAATAACAATAACAACAACAACAACAATAACAGTATTGGTGGTATTACGATCGATTGATATATTTAAAAAGTCGATATTCTATGATAAAGGTAATTGTTGCAACAAAAATTAAATAATTAATTACACTTGCGCAAAAATTTTTATTTTTAGAGTAACATTGTAAAGTGTTACATTTCACAGTTTTATGCCTATTCCTATTCTAGTTTAGGCTACTCGCTCAATTTTTAAAAAAGGTTAATTTATATTTTAATTGCAACAATTTTTTGGACCCATTTTTATTATTATTATTATTATTATTATCAGTCGCAGGACATTGCAGATCAAATGTCACATTATAAGTGTTACACGAATAAATTTTTTCAAAAAAAAAAAATCCGTTTTTCTTTTAACAAGTGACTTTTTCAATCATAATAATTTTTTTAGAGCCAGATTTAGGCTTCCTAACGACTAATGAAATAAGAGTCTAGCTTATTTATTTATTATTCTACGCCAGGCTGTAAGGGTTGCTTTTTTCAAATTTAAGAGTTTTTCTAACTAACGCGCAGAATAAAGCAAATTCAACAGTAATAGTTGTGTCAAAATGTTCCTTACAAAGTCGTTTATAATCACTTGGAAGGTTGCATTGGAAAAATTTTGATTTTTATTATATATAAGAAATTGATTCATAATTATTTATATGGTTATTTTTAAAAGCACATAAACCAAATTTCAAAAATAATGTTACTAATGAATCAAATTTTATTATCTATTAATATGTAAAGAAAATATATTTATGAAGTTGAATTACAGTTTAGCATGGCATGGAATATTAGTAATCACTTTATACTTAAAATGTATATATATTTTCAAAAAAAAGATCAAAAAAAAATTTTTACCAGAAGGAAGACAACTTAGAAAAATAACTAACAATAATAATAAATCATATATACAACTAGAAACAAATGTAGAGAGGATCTATCATATCTATCTTTTTATTTAATTAATCAATATCCACATACACATCATTATGTATATTAATAGTTACGTATAAAATATCCAATCTTTGTCACTTCACATTTGTTTCCTCCTTTTCCTGATATCATTATAATCAATCATTCCTATCACCACCATAAGAATAAAACATAAAAAAATTTTAATATCTTTACAATAATATCTATATATTACTTTATTTTTTTAACTTATTAATTTTAAATAAATGATCTTACAAGGATAGAGTCTAATCCTTGTTGTTGTGACAAATGAATATGCCTTGCATGAAATCTCTTATTATATGTATCATAATTATAATAGGAAAAATAAATAGCACTTCGAATATCTTCATTTGAAATCCTATTTAATGTAATACAGTCAAACCGAACTACTATAAACTGATTTTTCGCTTTATGTTTAATAAAAATTATTTCATTAGGTCGAATTTTATTAATTATAACCCCCACCCTACTTGATAAACCGAACCTAACTTTTGATACAACGTAATAAAAATGCAACTTTCCAAGCCGAATATTTGTGAAAACCAGTTGATGATTATAAACTGGTTTTAAAATTCGTCTTATAATGATAAAATTTGGTTTACTCCACACCCAAATCTTTCACAAATAAAATTTATTATTTTATACGTTTTTATTTGACTATTTCTGTGATTCACAAAAGTTCAGCTTGCCGAGGTTTGACTGTAGTATGAAAAACAAAAACAATAGGAAAAATAAATTTATACTTCAAATATCTTCATTTGAAATCCTATTTAAAGTAAATAGTATGAAAAACAATAGAAAAAATCAATAGCATTAAATTTACACTTGAAATATCTTCATTTGAAATCCTATTTGAAAAACAATAATAATTAATAGCATTAAATTTACACTTCAAATATCTTCATTTGAAATCCTATTTAAAGTAATAGTATGAAAAACAATAATAAATTAATAACTATTCAAAAAAACCAAATCTGTTACGCGGATTTAAATTCTACCTAAAAAGCCTGAAATGAATATTACTTAACTATTGCATCTAATTTATTATCTCAAAAGTTAAAGTGTGCATGTTACCCAATTTCATTATATATAACAAATGTCCAACTTCATGTCAAGATTTTCTTAAAGCGTTATTTGTTTACCCTGACAAAAAAAATACATCAAAATAAAGGTTTTTTTCATATATTTGTTATTTTTTATGATCCAAGCAACAATTGATTAAATCAGGCAAGCTTGTGCATGAAAGCGTGATTTTTTTCTTCATTTTAAATTCCAATCGAAAAATTTTATTAGTGGGTTACATTTGACCCCCCTGTAGTTACGCAATGTCCCGCGCGACCAATAATAATACTATTATTATTAATATTGGGCGTCCTCCGCCCAATATTTGTGCAACTAAGCACGCATTTCCGTGCTCAAAAATTTAAAACCAATTAGGTTTATTTGTTACCTAGTTTTTATTAATATCATATGGGCTAACTTTGGTCATAGTACTAGTGCAAGTAGTTTAAAGACCCAAATTTTGTTGTTCCTCAAAATATTTACAATAATAAGAATCAACCAATTTTTGTCATATGGGGCATGCTGCAACAAAACCAGACAAAGTGAACATTGGTATTACCAAGAATTTCAGGATAAAAATTTAATGTGATTATAATTAACAGTTTTATAATATCCCATTTGTTATCTTAAGTGATATCTAGAATTATCCCTATATAAAAATAATAATATGAAACTCATTTACATCAGATCTACTATGGAACCCAAGAATTATAGTAAATCAGAAGTTTTTGATGGAAGAACAAGGTGAAAAAATTGCTCCTTACATTTTCAAAATAAATGATACTCAAACACTTGAAGCTTATCTAAGGAAAGAAAGGATTACTTATGAAATTTACCAAGAAGAAAGAAAAATAATAAACATTAAGAAAAGAAAGCAGAATGAAGATGTGCTATTACCCCACAAAATACAGAAATCCTTAGAAGAAAAATAATCTTATTATTACAATATTGATTTATTTATTTTTACTGAAGAAAGAAAATTCTCCTTTATGCAAATATAAATCAATGATCATCTTATTGCATTGTTTATCAATCACTTGAGTTGTTTCAACGAATTCTACGTTCAAGGGTGTTTTATAAAACATCACCGATTCACTTAGTTTTCAGGTAAAGAAATCAAATAACAAATGCTTCAATAAATATTTACAACATTTTCATCCATTATAACATATTAAAAAATGCTTACTTTTAATAGTGAACTTTTTTGTGGATTGTTGATTGGACTCTTGCTTTGTTTTCTAACAATTATTTGACAAAAAGACTAAACTAAATCCAAACTTTTCATTCAGCAAAATAGCTCGTGAATTACTTGGAGGGAAAGGGTGTTGCTGCCTCCACAATAAAAAACTTCTACCAACGAAAAACAAACATTAGAAGGAAAAAAATAGAAGCAATTCAACAGTGGGTTGAAAAGGAAAAGAAGAAAAGAAGTGGCGAGTGAAATTGACGAAGATAATAAAAACAATGAAGATATAAATATTAGTAATAATAACATTATTGATAATAATAGCTATTGTAATAGTGAAAATCGAATTTTTGTCAGAGTGCTCAAATAATAGGTAATACTCACAAATGGCTTTGGGTCCGAGTATTTTCCTCCCATGCAAGTACTCTAACGATTTTTAACTTATATTTTTCTATTATTATTATTAATTGAATTAAAATATCTTTTTGTCGTTTAAATCATTGTCCGTAAAAATAAATTCCAAGTCATGTGCCCACTAATTTATCAGAATTGTAACAATTACGATCTAGATCAATAAATAAATTTTTTAAAAAAAAATTGATTTTAAATTTTCTTTAATTCAAATAATGGCAACATATGAAAAAATAGAAAAAGGATTAAACGATACAAAAAGAGAACATGAAGAGGCAAAAGGTGAATTGAAGAAGTTCGAAGAAGGGGAGGACGATGGAATGTTGCTGAAGACGTTGAGAAGGAAGAGGAAAGAGCTTGACGAAGAAGACAAGGAGGAGAAGGCGAGGCTGGAGAAAAAAGAAGAAGAGTTGACGAAGAAGGTGGACGATTGGGGAGAGCAGGTGATATTCTTACAAAAAAAATTAGCCGAATTTGAAGAAAAAGGTAATGAACAAATTGCATAAAAAAAAATTATTTTCCATTCATTCCATTTCGTTTATTTATTTGGCATACTTAAACTTTAATTTGTACTCCTTTGTTTATTTTTGCTGCTGTTTCTTATTTGACACCACAGAGAAAGGTGTTGATGTAAATACCATTTGTGATTTTTCTTTGGTTATTTAATTTTCATTTTAATTAAATATGGAATCTCATTTACCTCTTTCCCACCTAAATCATCTTGACAAAAATGCAAGGACAATTGCACATCATGATTGAATCAATGGAATCAATGAAATAGAAAATGGAAGATTTAGAGTTTCAGGTGAAGAGAGTAAGGATCTCATTTGAAGCCTCAACAATCTCTACACAAGGTATGTAATGACACATGTTTATACAATTTTTTTTTTGTTGCTTACAAGCTTAAAATATCAATATTTACTAGAAATTGATAATGAAATGGATATTGGGAGATCAATTATGACAAATACACATAATGTGATGTGCTTTCCTTTTGCTGTCAATATACAAGAATCTATCAACTATATAAGTATATCAAATCATGCTCACAAAGGACGTTTCCATGATCCTCCTATTTCTAGTGCTGAAAAAGATTATCAAGAATATTTTAGACAACAATGCATACCTCTGACAGGTACACTTATGGTCCATGACACATACCTGATTCACATCCTTGACAGGAGTAAGCCAGACTTTGTTGGAATAGCAAAAGACTTTATCACTTGACCCTCTCAATGTCAGCCTGATCATAGAAATCAAACCATATAAGCCAAACCAAACAACCTTCTCAAATGCCGATGTTGGACAGTTGGCCTTTTTTGCTTTAAAAATTTTTCGAATTCAACCAACACGTACTTTTGTCTATGGAATTCTTTCTGACTGTCATCATATTATGATACTGAAAGTGGAAAAGGTAAATGAAGAGATTATCGCACTGCACGTGCAGTTCTTAAGTATGATAATTCAGGATGGCAGTGGCTTATTACACTTCTTCAACGGACTCCAGAAGAATTAGGGTGGAGAGAGTCAGAAATTTCTTACAATAATAATTCTGATTGCATTAAACTTCTAAAATGGCTAGGACATGAAAGAACTGCACAGGTCTTTGAGGGGATTGTTTTAAAGGGACAGCATGCAGATCACAGGATTGCAGTAAAGATTGCACGAAATTCAATGTGTAAAAAGATCAAAGAAGAAGTGGATATTCTTACGACATTGAAGGGAAGTGATGGTATTCCGAATGTGCTTTTCTCTAATGAGAATTCTTTTGTCATGAAGCCTCTCTGTTATAAAATATATAGTTTCAATAAATTAGATTTAGATAGAATAATTAACATCATACAAAATGTTCATACACAAGGTATCGTGCATCGGGATCTTCGTAGGTGTAATATCCTCAGAGATAGGGATACTGGAACTGTCCACGTTATGGATTGGGGGTATGCTGTAAATATTATTAACCTTTCATTACCATTTGCTGGTGGACTTGACTGTGCATCAGATTTAGTGTTGGAATCAGTGAGGGATAGAAAGGAGATTGTTTATCAGAAGTCAGATGATTTAATTAGTCTATTGAGAAGTTTTTACTTGGTTTTACATGGACAGGTTGGTTCAGTTGCACTTCCTCTAGGAAATACAAATTGTCAAGAGTATGCTAGATTTTTGGAAAATCCATGGGAAATCCAACTTATGGAAGGAGCTATTTGAACTTGCTAGAAATTGTGATTATGAAGGGTTGAAGGTTAGGATTGGTGAGTTATGTTGAAGTTGTGATTAATCTAGTAATAAGATGGAGAGAAAAAAAAGTAAATCTGTAATGTTTAGAATTTTCTTTGCAAATTAAATAACAAAATTATATATATATTATCAATACTCTAATACTTTTTTAAGAATTTAATTACTTTTAATATAATATTATCTGAAGACTTCTGATTGTGAAACTATAACTTTAGTAGGGGAAGAAAGATATAATGTGAATTAAAAAGCCCTCTTTCAAAATTTTTTCCTTTTAAATGACTAACTGGCTATAAATAATCAAAGTAGTGAGGTATAAAAAGGACATTAATAAAATGCACTGCTTATTCTTGCACTATGATAGAATCCAATATGAAAGGAATTTTATTTACCTTCTGATGGTTATATCATTTGTGTAAATTATGAAAAGCAAATAAACATAAAAGGTATAATGCATGTTCTGTTTCATAAGAAAGTTTGTAATCTTGTGGATGAATGTCATTAAAATTAGCAAGATTGTTGTTGTATGTATGAGAATAACTGTATTTTTCTTCATTTTTAATTTAAATTGGAAAACCTAATACATTAGTCCTGAAAGCCAGTATGATAATAATACAAAGTGAACAAAAAATTATAAAATCATATATATGGGGATAAGTTTATATGAAAAGTAATAATGAAAATGATAAATATAATGGTTCTAATGAATATGAAAAAGCAATTAATTTTTTAGAAAAAGGTTGTAAATGTGGTTGCTTTTCCAGAATTCCCAAGAAAGAATTTGCAGTATTAAGGGAATCCTTTCAAGCTCTTTCCAAATCTGAGCAAGACATATTTTTAATGACACAGGTTAAAGCAATAGATGATGGACCAACAAGTACTAGTAGATGCCTTAAAAAGAAAAATAGATCTAACAAAAGAACTTTCTATCACTGGGATCACAATACACTCCTTTGTCAAGAAACTTATTTTAATATGTTAGGGATTGGTAGAACTTATTTTGAAAATATTAGAAATCATCTGATAAACCATGGTCTTCTGCCAAGAATTCATGGCAATATTAAAAGGATGCCTCAATGGAAAACTAAAATAGTGATTGATAAAAATGTTGCTGAAGTAGTAAAGAATTTTCCAGAAAACTATGCAGAAGTTCATGGATTACCAAGTCCAGGAAGGAACAACAATAGAATAACTCAATCAATCACATTCTTGCCAGCTAAAATAAGTTATAAATCTGTGCACAGGGATTTTATAGCTGGTCTAGAAGATAGTAACTTGAAATCTCTAAAATATGATGCTTTCAGAAAATTATGACATCAATTGACGCCAGAAATTCAAATAATGAGTCCCAGAACTGATTTGTGTGATACTTGCCAGCATTTTAGAGACGGTTTACATTATAATGCTCACCAAGAGGAAGAAGCTAAAGATTTGCTCAAAAGATTTAAAAAACATCTATTCAGGGCCAAATTAGAAAGAAATTATTATAATAAGAATACCAAATTAGCAGAAGAACAAAGAAAACTAGTTGATCAATGTTATTCCAAAGGTAAAACATCATATTGCAGTATTGATGCTACTGCTCATTATAGTTATGATTGAGCCCAAAATGTTCATGTGCTACATTTGGATCAACATGTAAGTAAAATTTATTACCTTAGTCCATGTAAAGTTCATATATTTGGTATTCAAGATGAGACAGTAAGGGAGCAAATTAATTATATTCTTAATGAAGATGAAATTATAAGAAAAGGACCCAATGGAACTCTTAGTATGATTTTTGATGGAATTAAGAAATTGAATAAAGGTGAGAAGCATTTGAAGATTGCTTGTGATAATGGTGGGGGACAAAATAAAAATAATGTAACAATTTGATTTTATTTATATTTGGTAATTTGTGGTTATTACAAAAGCATTGAATTAAATTTCATGGTTCTAGGACATACCAAATTCAAATGTGATGGTAGTTTTGGATTGATTAAAAAACTCTATAAGAAAACAAGAGTAGATTGTCTAGACCATGTGGTTGAGATGATAAAAAAGTCTAGTCCAGCAGGATTAAATAAAGCTCAGTGTTATGAAGGTGGAAAAGGCTTTCAATACTTAGATATTAAAACTATTTTTGGAAATTTATTTTAAGAAACTAAATAGTATCAACATTTTCTTTTTGAAGCATCTAATCTTGGTGTAGTCAAAGCTCAGGAAGTGGCTAGTGGAACTTTTACTAAATTCAATTTATTAAAAACTAAGAAAACAGATATTTTTGAAGAAATTAAAGCTTTATCTATTTTAGTATTGACACCACCTCCTTTGGACTACAAAAGGCAAGAATATCTTTATCATAATATTCATCCATTTGTTAGAGATAAATTCAAAGATATTACTTGCCAAAGACTGATCTATACTGGAAGTGAATAAAATATTTAGAATAAAATCACTTCCATGACTTTTTCACTCATTAATTTTTCTCTTGCTGCCATTAAGTTTAATAAGTTTGATCTTTTTTCCACTTTTAAAGTAAAAAAGTACTAAAATAATTTATATATTTAATACACCCTTATAAAAAGGATATAAGTATATTAAAAGAATATATAAAAAAAAGAACAAACATGGTAAACATTATAAACAAACAATAACAAGCAAACAAAACACTAATAAATGAAATAGAATTATTGAAGAAACAATTAGCTGAAAAAGAAGAAAACTTTAAGAATTTGAACTGCTGTTCACAGCCTTATTGAAAGTTCAGAATATACTGGAACAAGTTTAAGAACCTTAGAAAGATTTACTTGACCTAACAATGGTTGAGTAAGTTATCCAGAAAAGAATGGAATTGAAATTGGAAGAGTTGTTTTCAGTGATGAATTCACTCCTGAAAATATTGTTAAAAGTTTTGGTAGTGAAGCATTAAATTATGAAGAAGCTTTTGGTTTTACTTACCAAGAAAAAGAGGAATTAAAAGAAAAGAATGCTGTTTTAGAAGAAAAAGTTGCTGAATTAGAAGCAAAGCAAAAAGAACTGGAAATAAAAGTAGAAGAGTTGGAAGATGAAGTGGAAATGGAGCGAGAGGAAGCTGAAAAAGCATTAAACACAGCTATGAAGTGGAGAAAATGCCAAATGAATGAAATGATACTAAAACATGATGCTGCAATGAGCAAACTCTTAGGCCAAATAGATTTGTTGGAAAATAACTTGTCAGCTAAAAATCAGGAAATAAACTGAAGAGATGATTTAGCAAACAAAGAATTACCATCTTTACCAAAACAACAAAAAGAAAATAGATTACAAAAGTTTAAACAATTAGTAAATAAAGCAAAAGAAAAACTAAAGAGAAATTCCAAGCTTTTATTATTCAGAAAAGTAAGTAGATTAATATGAAATTAGAATATAGAGTTCTGGAAATAGCAAAGGGAGATGAACAAGAATGTAACTTCTGTTTTCTAGATTTTGATGACCCAACTCTTCTTAATTATGATACTGCTCCTGCTACTCATCAAATGGTGGTTTGTAATACTCCTGATGGTTATTCTGACATTGCTTTTATCTGTGGTGAACGTAAAAATGATTATGATAATAATACTCTTCCATGATGTGAGAAATGTGGTGGTTAAAAAGGAATAGAAACAGATGTTTTGTAGTCATTTAAAAAATCAATCAACTAAACCACTTTCTGACAAAGAACTACTTTCACAAGCTTTCAGTTTTCACCTAGAAAATAAAGCTAGAGAACTAGAAAAAGAGTTATCAATTACCAAAGAAGAATTAAAAATTGAAAGAGAAGAAATAGCCAAGTTTCAGGAAAAATCTGAAGAGTGAAGTAAAAAGCAAAAACAGGAATTATTAGATAAGGTAAAGGGTTTAGAAGAAAGAATTAAACAACTAGAAGAGGAAAACAGGAAATTAAAAGATCAACAGAATGGTCAAATTGCTCAAATTGAAGTTAAAGAGACTAAAAGATGATCTTGATTGAAAATGAGAAAGTAGTTTAAAGAATATTCTGTATAAATTGAAATTCATTCCAACTATCAAAGAAAATAGTAGTTATTTTTAAAATTAAAAGACCTATTCTATCAACTAATAGAGCTGTTTTTTAAAAAAGTAGGACAGAAAATGACTTTTATACTTTTAAAATTTGCACAAAATTTAGGAGGTCTTTAGACTGAGCCAACTATATTAAAAATAAATCTTACCCTCTGAGTAAGATTTAAAAAAAGAATATAGTGGCAATCATCTAAAGACATCATCAAATGTTGCCAATCTTTAAGTGCTGATACTTTATTAAATATGGGCTATTTTACCAAAAACTCTCTATTTTTGCAATATTCTAGACATGAAAAATAATGTAATAGAAAGTTTTTTTTGAGTTATTTAATTAAAAAAAAAGTTATAATGGTTTAAAGTTGGGTAACTTTGCTATTTTATTTGAAATTTCGGCAACTATATATCTAAACTGCAATTTACCAATTATTCATGTGACAAAGTCACAGATCTTTTACAAATTTGGATTTATTTTTATATATTGGATTCTTTATAAAGCAAGATCAGCATAAAAATTTTCGGCAAGTGGCACAGCACGTGATGTCTTTAGGTGATTCGCACCATAACATGTTTTTTTGCAGAATAGGGGAGTTTTTAACTGTAATCCTATCTCCTATTTGAATATTTGTAAATCTAAAATTACAAATTTCAAGTATTTGTAATTGTTACAAATGTTTGAAATGATTATGAATATTCAAAATAAATAAAAGTATCTGAAATAAATTATGAACATCTGAAATAATTATTATGAATATCCAAAATAATTACAAATATTTGAAATAGTTATAAAATAAATTTATATTCAAATATCCATCATTTTCCTAATCAAATCAAATCAAATCAAATCAAATCAAATCAAATCAAATCAAATCTTAATCTAATCAGATTTTAATTTCTGAGGACACCCAATAAGTGCCTAGGATTTATGAAAGTGT